CCATTGGCAGCAATTACTGCTCCACACCGTCTCGGCACAGACTGGATAAGTCGACGAAGTCGCTCTTGCGGAATTTTTCCCCACTCTTCCTACAACGCGATGGCCAGTTGTGGAGGAGTTTGAGGCGTGTTTTGACGTTGACGTACAGTTGACGTACACGTCGATCGAGTTCATCCATGTTTATCGGGTTTAGATCTGGTGATCGGGAAGACCGGGGACACCTCACTGTGCCCTCTGCTTTTGTTTAGGTTACTAGTGCAGTCAACCATTAGTTAAAGTCTGTTCTGAAAATACTTAGAAGTTTATTACCATTTGAATAATCAGCAATATAAAAATTCAACATCAGGATATTCAAACAAAGTCTTTCTGAATGCCGCTTCTCGGGGGATCTTGGGCGGAATTGGTCTGCAGGAAACGATCCCAAAGGCGAGATATATGGTGTTCTTATGAACGTTGAAATGTCGGGCAACTGCAGACTGCGACTCCCCAGCTTCAAGGCGGCCTATGGCGATGTTCCGATTGGCGGCACTCAGTCGTGCATGATGATGTCCTCTTTTCCAGAGGAAACGTTTGCCTTTTTATAGTGATCGATACCGCATGCTTTTCCGCTTACTTGCACGTGCATTTTGCTTTGCATGTTTTCTTGGTGACGTTTTAGCGAATATTTCTTCAAACGCTTCTAAAACAAGGGAAAAAGTTAAAATTGCCGCTTTTGGGCGCTGAAGCTGATTACAATCACACAAAGATGACGTTGTGGAAAGATATAGTATATTTGTTTTTGCCGCAGCTACATGAGACCAATATTCTCAAAATGTTTTAAACAATATTTATTCATTATTAAATGAACGGATTTGTAAACAGGCTATAAGCTTATATAAATACCCTCCGAATTCTCAAAATCACCTGTGCGTTTCTGGGTTTTTTTTAAGAGTGTACTCGTCTGATATTGTGGGCTTCCAAAACTTGTGAACTGCATGCTATGTTATGGGTTTCTACTGCAGTCATCTCTCATATATTAGGTTCCCCTGTTTATGTGGTAATGTATACATAACTTCATCATAAAATCTATCTACTCACTCATTCTGATAATCACGAATGGTGTTCGATACGAAAACACGAAACGACATACGCGCACAAAATATCCGTTTAAATAGCATATTTCGTGTGTAAAACAATGAAGTGTATTATACGGAAGCGCTGGATAATAGGTTTACGTCGTGCACACGAGATACTAAAGTCTGCGCACGGTTTAAGCATTAACGGGATATGAATAGGAGAAGAAAACTGTGTTGTTCCTTGTTCTTCCAGATGAGATGTCAGACACTGAACGGGAAACAATGTCCCATCTCAGGCGTTTTTGTTCGAGACATGAATTCTGATCAAGTCTAGAAAGTTCTGAGATTCTGTACAGGATCAAACCTTACGCTACAACTTTAGATGTGTTTTGTTGACATGACTGGAATAGCAAGGCGTCCAGTTGCACATGCATGTGGCAGCATCCTCGACCTTCCCTCCCGTTACCTAAGTGAGTGAGTTTAGTTTTACGCCGCATTCAGCAATATTTCAGCTATAAGGCGGCGGTCTGTAAATAATCGAGTCTGGATCGCACAATCTCTCTCCTGTTACGAGAGCTACGCAATCTACAGGCGAGTTAGGTAATGGACATAGCATGGGACCGGTTTCTGGTCTCTGGCTTCTGATGTCTGATACACTAGTCGTTTTCCATGTTCTGTTTATATGTTACTTATAATGTTTGGTTACATTTGAAATTACATAGTCCTTGTAAGTTGCTGACAAGGTCTTAATATACGTTTGGCGTCCAGTGTCGTCCTCCCTTCTTTTAGGTTTTGCCCTGGTATGGTTGATACGACCATTACACCGATTAATGATGTTACAGATAGATGGGCTGTCATAATCTGCATGTTAGACTTTCTCACAACGATCAGTTTCATTTATTTTACTCGGTGTGTTGGTTTTGTGACAAGAGAATTTGCATGTATGTATGTATGTATGTATGTATGTATGTATGTATGTATGTATGTATGTATGTATGTATGTATGTATGTATGTATGTATGTATGTATGTATGTATGTATGTATGTAATTGTTATTATATGTGTATTACATCTGTATGTTCTGTCAACTATGTACGTTTTGTTACATACCTATTTATACTTATTGTTATTTGTATGTCATATGGGCCCGTGGCCTCTGACTGAAGAAATAAGCTTACCAAACTTTCATTCAGTAACCTTTATGGATTTTGTCACATTACAATAATTACCCAATTCGGCAGATAAAAGATAGACAAGGTATTATTATGAATAGAATGAATATCACATATATTTATTTTCAGGATATGAAGAAAGCAGAACTCGATCAAACTTTTGTCCAGCATATCTCCCGTCAGTGTATATCTCTTCAAACACGTTCATCCAAATCTATATGTTCTGTCTTCTCAGAATGCCCCATCAACACTCAATTCTTTAATTCTGCTGACTTGTTCCAAAGGAGTAGCTCAAGTGACGATCACCTGTAGTTTCGCGCAGGAATTTCTATAAATAGGCGACTGTTCGAATTTCAGTCCCTATGTCACTGTGCACGCATACATGAGCTCCATTAGCTTGTAAAGGTTATGCATCCAGCGATAACCATGATCTGCACAGACAACACTAACTGCTTCCCAATGAAGTCACATACATCCAAGATGTCAGTATAATTTTCCCCCGAAACTATCGCAGTTGTGTTAGTGACTAGTGAGCCTTTCACTCCAATCGCTAACATTTGAAGGGATGTTACAAATCCAGCTAGGGTCCATGCAAGTAGCAAAAGTACTGTAAGTCCCCATGGTCCCTAGCATTGTGATCTACCTTCAGTTGCTGGCGACCTATAGCCTGATTTTATAATGAGTGGTTGAATACTGATTTAGCATTTTAAACTGATCTCATAGTAGTTTTAATTAATCTGTGATAATCTAGTAGTTATAACTGCTTTAGCATTTTAAACTGATCTCATAATAGTTTTAATTAATCTGTGATAATCTAGTAGTTATAACTGCTTTAGCATTTTAAACTGATCTCATACTAGTTTTAATTAATCTGTGATAATCTAGTAGTTATAACTGCTTTAGCATTTTAAACTGATCTCATACTAGTTTTAATTAATCTGTGATAATCTAGTAGATATAACTGCTTTAGCATTTTAAACTGATCTCATACTAGAATCTGTGATAATCTAGTAGTTATAACTGTTTAGAATTTTAAACTGATCTCATACTAGTTTTAATTAATCTGTGATAATCTAGTAGTTATAACTGCCCTTTGCTGACAGCATTTTAGAAAGTATAAATCTATTTATTCTCAGCATATGACTTTTTGTCGTCACGATGTGGCTAAGATATTACCGATGTGACATAAAAGTTTCACTCACTCAGTCAGTCAGCATATCAAATGCCGTACAGAGATGATTATACTGTGCCGTTTGGCTAAGAGAGATGTAATCTCCTGGTAGGTAAACCGAGATGAAATCTCATATTGTGACACATCGTGTGTACATAATGCTACACCATGCACACGGTTTAATATTTCGTACACACGATATGATATCACTTTAAACCCGATCTCTTCATATCGTACGCACGAAATACAATATTATTACAATCTAAAATCATGTCCCTTTTATTTCACGCGTGCGCAATAACATATCGCGTGCACATTATATTACATCATCTATACACTTAAGTATGCCATGTGCACGGAATAATCTTCCTTCTATTCATGTCCCTCCAGCGCTTCTGTAGTGTGCATGAGTTATGTGAAAAATGATACAATTGAAAACAAATATTTTGAAGCAATGTATAATATTCAAAAGAGATGGATCTTGCTTTGAGAGAAAGCGAGATTCGGGAAATAACGGGAGCGCCGCCAAAGTAATGCTATAACAAAAACGGTAAATGTAAATCAATATTGAAGATAAATATTCCGATAATCCACTGCCTCAACACTTTTTATTTGTGAAGTATTTGATATGATTCACATCATCATCAAACAATTTATTGATCAAAGCGTGTTTGAGTGTGGTATATTCTTTTCCGTCTGAGAGAAATAACAAGCTAGAGCTTGTATAGTCTACAACATCGCTTTGAGTATTTCTACGTCCAGATTTTCAACAAAGCTCAAATAAGGACACATGATGTCAATATGTATTTACACCAAAGAAGAGAATCAGGCCAGCCACAGTATATTTTCATAACTTGTTTGGAACATATATCAATGTTTCCACAACTTTATGAGTGTATACAAACAAGATCGTGGATCGTGGACAACATATGCCTTTGTCCTTTCGTGATAACAAGTGTCGCATTTGCAACTGTGTGACATTTCGCGTCTTTCAGTTGGACGCTTTCTCACTGTTATTGTCTCCTGTAAAGAGCTATTAGAAATACCATAAGCAGTCTATTCTTGATACAGAAAAAAACATTGTAACCTTCAAAACACCTAATCGATATTCCGTGGACTAGCAATGACGAATTAATCCCAAGTTAAAATCCGGAGTAGCATGTATCCGGGTCATAACAACCGGACGTGACCTCATAATAAAGCTCTGTCAGCTATACCATTCCAAATCTGACGATTTCTTAATGAACAGCTTGCGTTCCGTGTAGCTAGGGCAAACAATAAGCGTCTTGCTGAACCGTCACCCATTAGCGTTAACACAACCTATATATTACAGCTTTGATCAATGGCAAGCTTATTCAAAGACCATGGCATCTTTAGTAAAGTTACAAACACATTTACCACAACGCTGTAGCTTTAACCGCGTGGAGGGTACATTTCATGTTTTTTATTACATACCTTTTAGTTATGTGTGCGAGTAGAATTGGCGGTGCGCGTGATAGAGCCTAAATGGTGCTGGATGTCTGGTTTCACGTGACAAGACAAAGGTGGTGTTGTATAATCGATTTTTTCACACGTCACGAGTCTGAAGCACTAGCCGTGTAAGGTCGTGTAAAACAGCCACTTTAGACATAACGCTGTAACATAGGTTCACCCGACAGACATTACGGGGATGTGACAGGTAAGTTTTCATATATAATGAGTGAATGACTTTCTTTGTAAGCGGTATGTATGTAACGGTTTTCGGGACACAGTAGTGTGGTACAAGTAAAACCTCATTTGTTACAGTTGTATAAAGAATATATTAGTTGTGTACAGTATTATGCATTTTCAAACAAAACTTCAAATCACTTTTCTTTTCAATTCTTTTGATATTTGAGATAAACGGTAATCGGGAGTGGGGAATGAGATTCAGAATGAAAAATAAGACGGTATTCTGCATTCAGAGTGCAAAATAAGATGATATGGTGTATTCAGAGTGCAAAATAAGATGATATGGTGTATTCAGAGTGCAAAATAAGATGATATGGTGTATTCAGAGTGCAAAATAAGATGATATGGTGTATTCAGAGTGCAAAATAAGATGATATTCTGTATTCAGAGTGCAAAATAAGATGATATGGTGTATTCAGAGTGCAAAATAAGATGATATGGTGTATTCAGAGTGCAAAATAAGATGATATGGTGTATTCAGAGTGCAAAATAAGATGATATGGTGTATTCAGAGTGCAAAATAAGATGATATGGTGTAGTCAGAGTGCAAAATAAGATGATATGGTGTATTCAGAGTGCAAAATAAGATGATATGGTGTATTCAGAGTGCAAAATAAGATGATATGGTGTATTCAGAGTGCAAAATAAGATGATATGGTGTATTCAGAGTGCAAAATAAGATGATATGGTGTACTGTACCGGCCTTAGATGTATACATTTTGATGCACTCTTCGTTCTAGAAGTGTCACAGTTCAAGTTAAAAGGCAATCAACGATATGTAAGGTTCAAGTGGACCTAAACTCGACGTTCGTGCGACAGGAGTGCTTTTTCACGCCCCGAACGGTATTTCATTTCTGTATTACAATAGTAATCATTTTGTTTCCGGAACATAGCTAAAAAAACAACCGTTCACTATTTTTCAACAAACTTTGGTAGATATATCAAACAGAAACTAAAGTAGTGTATTTTGCTATTTACAGATTTTTTCATTTCTATTTTTCTCGGTTTCCATGGAAACGTTTCGGACTCAAAAGGGGAGGGTGGGCTTCGATTCCGGAGCACAACTCGAAAACCGTTCAATATCTTTCTGTAAGACTTGGCAGATACATCAAACAGATCTTGAAGTAGTGCCTTTTGCTATTTACAGAATTTTGGCACTTATATTTTTCATGATTTCAATGGAAACGATTTGGACTTAGTCTGAAAAATATTAAAATGCACTTCAAGTAACTGTCAGATGATTTGTTCTTTCAAATATGTGGGGACCTGGGGGATTTGGCATCTTCTGAAGACTCTTGTTTTGAATACCCGTTCACACCTCGACTGATTAACAATAACTTACTGAACAATTAATCAGAACAATTTTGTTGCTACGGAATTCAAACGAACTCACACGATAATAAAGGTAATATTCAGTTTACTTACTTGAATAAGCATATATTAATTTTGTTGATACGTTCCCCATGTCATCAAACCAATGTTTTAGTCCACTAATCACTTCAAAGGATACCGATATGTCGGCCTGGAAAGATTCTCTCTATCTTTTAATTCTATAGATACTGGTCGCTCTCGACAAATCAGAAACAACATTGAGGGTGTTCGAATCCTTGATGATTGATTACTTACTTGATCGAGGGCCGCAAAAAATGTAGTTATTTCACATGATAAATAACACCCGTGTACCATGGAGGAATTCATAATGCAAGTGTGTTGGTTAGACCTTTCGCGTGCCCTGTTTCACCCTCGAATGAGGAAGGTGGGGTAGCCTTGTGGTTAAAACGTTAGCTCGTCGAAGACCCGGGTGCGATTCCACACATCTGTAAACTTTCCGGTGTCCCCCTCCGTGATATTGCTGGAATATTTGCTAAAAGCGGCGTAAAACTAAACTCACTCTCTAACTCATCCATCCTCGAATGGGTCAGTTACACCCCGCTCCTCGTGTATTACCTATGTAAATCCCGACCAACTATCGATCAAATATCATTAGCAGCTATAATGTTGAAACAACATTATTTTGATGGAAATCGGTATTTACGAACCAAGCTTCACTATGGCACCACTGTTTGATTCGGTCCTTCTTGCACATTACTTAGTGAGTGAGTGAGTTTAGTTTAACGCCGCACTCAGCAATATTCCAGCTATATAGCGGCGGTCTGTAAAAACTGAGTGTGGACCAGACAATCCAGTGATCAACATCATGAACATCGATCTGCGCAATTGGGAACCGCTGACATGTGTCAACCAAGTCAGCGAGCCTGAACACTCGATACCGTTAGTCGACAAGCATAGTCGCCTTCTGTGACAAGCATGGGTTGCTGAAGACCTATTGTACCCCGGATCTTCACGGGTCCCATTACATAGTGACTCGAGTTAAGAGATTGAAATACACGTGTCAGGGCAAATATACAGATCACATAGGATCAACCAAACCACATTTATCAATCACCCAAATAATACATGTAGATGGGACTGTTATGGACAACCCTGGAATATGATAACGTGCTCCATTAGTCACAAATATGCCCTTTGATAAACATTATTTCTACTGACTGTGATCATACGTATCATATCTAAGTCAACATAATTAGTTGAATGTCGCCGCGGCTAAATACTGTTTTTGTGGCCCTGTATTGCTGACCATGCGGGTTAAAATCTTGCTGGCGACGTAAAGTTTTCCTGAAATTATCAACCCGCCGCTTTTAACTGTTTTTCTAACAATATCATGGTGAGGGACACCAGAAATAGGGTTCACCAATGTGGGGAATAGAACCGAACGCTGTTAATTAGGGCGGACAGATTAGGAAATGACCCGTCAAAGACACAGCAGCCCAAATATTAAACCGCTCGTTGATCGTATTTAGTGCGTATAAGTTAGGCCAATATTGACTTACATTCACGACGATAAATATGAGGAGCCCATTTTAATATCTAATCGGCATTTCTTGATATGAAATATATTTCATATTTGTGATTATTATCACATATTTGTTTTTGAGATATCAATAATTATTTTTGGGTATTGTAATTTTGAATTTTTGATCTTTCATTTTTCTGATATCAATGAATAAAGTATTGATAACATTAAATAAAAAAATAATGTTAAAACGGCCCTTCATAAATAGCGTCTTGCTCATTCTGTTCCAAATCGAACTGCCTTACGAAAAACAATACTTTTATAATAATACTTTTCCGAAACAATAAACATGACACTCCCGAGTGGTATGAGACAGTCCTAACGTTACGGACTCAAGGTTCTTGGAGTTTGACAAGTCCCAGGGCATTTGTGTTGTCCTTAAAACCCCCATTTCACTGGGCCGCGGCATAATTGCGGAAGCAAAAATGGTCACATCCGCAAATTGTCCGAAAATATTCCCCCATCTTCCGCGGCTTTCCTCCAGGGAAGGCAGTTATTACGCAAGTGTTCCTCATCTTTCGTAATGTTCCGGCAGGCCGAAATTTTCTGCAAACGTGCTTTTGAACATGTTCAATAGCACCTGCACGGAAAAAAATTCCGTCGCTGTTCAGCAGTCAAATGTCAATCCGTAAGTATTCCGCCCTTTCCGCAAGTTGTTCGTATTCATTCCTTATATGAACGCACATACCGCAAGTCTTCTGCGAGTATTCTGCTAACCTTCCTTCCCTTTCCATGTGATGTAATTCAGCCACGGATTAATTGCGTTCACGCACGGATGAAAACGGAATACTCTCGCTCACACACAGAAGGCACGGAATAGGAAGGCATAGGAAACAACTCTGCTGCAAGTCAATATGCCAAGAGCCAAGAAAAAGGGTACCAAGAGAGGGAGGTCACCCCCACCAGAACCTTCACAAGCTCCAGAACCTGCCCCTGATGCACTTGACATTGATGCAGAATCAGATGTTGCTGGTGTTGTTGAAACTGATGCCGCCACTGCCCCTAGCAAGAAACCAGAGTTTACAGTAAGCTGAAAGATGAAGAAGAAGAGGTCATGGTGGACTTCATCAGGGTTAACGAATGTCTGTACAACAAGAAACTCCGATCCTGGAGTGACAAGCACCAGAAAGCGAAAGTATGGTCAGGCCAGGCCAATCGTATGGGGCAGACCGAATATGAATGGTTTCAAAGTGTCCGGACTCGATTTGGGAAATTGCGACGGTGGAAATCTTGACAAACTGATATACAGATGTCTGAAAGGGACAGGTGGATTTATGACAGCTTCAGCTTCCTCTGCCCACACATCGTAGAGGTGCAGAAGAGGAACGTTGTGTCCTTCAAAGCGAAGATTGCTGCTCGACATGGAGATGCCAACACCACCACCGTCTGTACAAGGCCTGTGACACAGGTATCCACATCAACATTAACTCAGGGCAGCCGCGGGAAACACAAGTCTGGTGGATCCGATTCATGTAAATCCAGCCTTTGCGATAGAGCTGATAGGATACTATCGTCAATGGAGCAGCTGGTGAAGCAGAGACAAGAGGTTCTGTCAGCCGACCAGTCAGACAGGACGACATTCATAAGCTGGTTGGGAGATATCCTAAAGAATCTGCCCAAACCTGTGTACCGGGACGCCAAGATAAAGATTCAGCAACTGATGAACGACTGTTTGGTCAGAGCTGAAGTCACGGCTACCCCCCAGCCACAACCTCCTCAGCAAGTGCAGCAACAGCATCACATGCAGCCGCTTCGTCAGCAGCAGCAGTTTCAACAGCAACAGCTCCATCATCGACAGTCTCCTCATCAGCAGCAGCAAGATCGACCTGTTCAGCAACAGCTGTGAGATACACGTACAGTGTGGCGCAGGACGAGGGTTAATTGGTATCAATACTGCCGAACAAAAGGATGTGAACATCAATACACAGAGCATACTATACTACCTGATGATAGTTTTGAATCGCATGCATAATTTTCTTAAAGATATAGAAAAAATCATTTTGCTGTTTGTTCCAGTAATATGTATGAACTTTTGATTGGTTTGGCTTGTTTTA